GTGCTTCTTCGGAGCGCTGTCAGCGGCTGCAGAGCTCATTCTAGGCGCAATGCTGCCAGTCTTCAGCTTGGAGTATGCTGGTCTGGACCCAAAACTGCTCCTGCCCTGGACCGAGAGCGCCAACTTCCTACCACCAGGCAGTGATCCGTTGAAGGCACTGGACAGCCTTGGCGGACCACCAATCTGGAAGATATACCTGCTGGCTTCGCTGCCAGTGCTGGTTATCGGCATAGCCAACCTAGCTCTCGTCCCGCTGGCTATCTCAACTGGTCGTCGCGCTATAGTCCTTGGCACCGGAGTGCTCGCCATCATCGGCTGTGTCTGGTCCGGCACAAGTGCTTCGTTGGACTCACACCTAGCAGCACGTTGTGTACAGGCGGTGGGAGCGGGAACTGTGGAATCGCTGATTCCCTTCATCATACAAGAGTACGTATGCTTTTCAGGACAAGACTCGCCGCTGACAATCACAGCATGGTTCACGTCCACAAGAGGAACACCTGGATGAGTGGAGTGTTTGCTGCTCAGGGTATCATCATTATCGCTCTCGGATTTGCATCTCCTTACATCATCATATACCTCAACTGGAGATGGGTATACTACATGACAGCAGCTGGTGCGGGATTCTTCCTCATAGGCTGCTTCTTCTTCATGCCGGAGACTCGTTACGCACGAACTCGTTCTGAGATGGGTATGAACTTGTGCTGCGATCATGATCACTGCTGACTCGGGCTTAGAGGGCACTCCTCGTGACGATGCTGATGTCGAGTACAGCCCACGTACTTGGAAATGGGTGAGTAGCCGCACTTCCAGCAAGACTTGACTAATGGACCAGGACCTGGCTCTCTTCCACGGAGAGATGGAATGGCGCAAAGGCTGGAATGCCTTCCTCGATACCATGCGCACATTCTTCTATCCTCAAATCTTCTTCATCACTATGCTACACAGCGCCATGATGGCAGCAGCGTTGGCAGCAGCGTATACTGTCGCTGCGAACCTCCTGGTCAAGCCATGGGCGTAAGTCATAAGCACCATTCAGGCAATAATGCTAACTTCGGTAGATGGTCGTTTCTTCACCTTGGTTTCTGTCTAGTGCCTGTGCTCATTGCAGCAGTCTTCATCGCTGTGATCACCGGAGGAGTCGCCGACTGGGTTGCCAATGCTATGGCAAAGACACGAGGCCGACGACTGCCTGAAAATCAACTTGTCAACCTGATCCTCCCTATCATTACCGCTCTGGCTGGTTGTGTGCTATTTGGCATCACCGGAGAGGATCCTTCTCGGTATCATTGGGCGCTCTTCTTGTTTGCACTTGGCCTGATGGCATTCGGCTTTCTCGGTGCGAATGCAGTCGGTGCGGTGTATGTCCTCGAGACATATCCGCATCTTGCTGGTCCGTCACTGGTGAACATTGCATCTTTCCGTTGCTTGCTGGCCTTCATCTTCTCCTTCCGGGTCTCTGAGTGGATCGCCGACTTTGGCTACAGCAAGACAATGAACATCTATACTGGCATCATGGGCGCTTTCGCTGCGCTTGTTCCTGTCGTATACATCTATGGACCAGCTTGGAAGAGGAGGTGGCCAGCTGACAAGTGTGGTGATTACTACTGAATTGTGACAACACGTTGCGGCAATAGACGGCATGGAAGAGCTTCCCTTGACCTTGTCGAAGTACAAGGTTACGCCAAAGTCACGCCTCTTCCATATCACGCAATCAACGGCATCATCAACGCCGTCCAACGCTACAATGGCGATATCGTTGTGTCGATTTCAAGGACACATCAGTCTCTCAACGCTCTCCCTATAGATTGGGCAACGATCTCGCTCCACATACCCATCGCTACGTCGGCGATCTCTTGTCAAAGAGATCCTTTGTCAAAGGTAACATACGTCGAGTCAAGCAGACAATGCCTTTATGCCTTGCTAGGGTCATTTCATTGTTCTTCAGCAGGCCGACCAGTATCAATTCGCTGCTACTCGTCGATTCAAGCAGCATGTTGTGCCTTTATATCCTTCTCACCCTCGAAGGAAGCTTTACACTTCATACCACCTACCCATTCTCTAAATCTGTCGACATTCCTATTCTCGATTAAAGCTCGGCACTTCATATTTTGAAACCCAGACAACTTACATTGAGACTTGAAGTCATGGAAGACCTTCCGCTTGAGATGTTCATGCATATCGCTGACTATCTAGACCCCAAAAGTCTGCACGACTTCGCTCGTGTCAGCCGTCGCTGCAGGGATGCTTCAGATCCTTATCGCTTCCACACTCTGGTCATAAACAGGACAACGTATACAGAAGTAGAGCAAGTTTTAGCTCGCATAAGTCCAGATCGTCTACGATACGTTCAGCGGCTCAACCTCTATAACGAGAACGAGTACTCGGTCGATACTCGGCCTTCCTCTGTGCAGCATGTACTCCGATTCCTCAGAATGCTCCCTGCTCTCCGAGATGTGAGCTGGGAGTCCAGTACACAACAGATCCCGCTCGAATTCCTCCGATATCTCGAGTCCATCCGACCTCGATGTCGACTTCATATGCCTTACTTTGATCTCCCGAGTCTATATCATCCGGTCCCTCCTAAGATCAGTGCTATAGATCTCGCAGTCGCAACATCACCATGTCTATACAGCATCCACACTTGGCCAGATATGTCGAGGAATCATCTCCCGATATTCGGTGCTGTCATGGAGATGGTCGCTGGACGAGCGGAAAACTTGAAGGAAGTCATACTGCTCTGTAATGCAATAGATCCGCCTCCAAAACCAACAACTTGGCTCGGTGAGACCCACACAGAGCCACGATTGGGATGTCTTGACACTTTGGAGCTGTATTTCTGGGGTGCTAGTGAGGCATTCAAACACTGTGTTAAGACGGACTTCAGTTGTCTGCGCAGCCTCGACTTGGACATCCTCGGAGATTCTTCCAGCATCGACTGGTTCAAGGTGGGTGACAGATTTCCTAACTTGATAGAACTGAGCACCAGCTCTAATTGCATAGGCGGCGAAGACGTCGTAGTAGCCCTGTGCTGCTCGCTGCCGCGCCTCAGAAAGTTGCGACTTGAAACCTACTATAGCACCGAGGCGCTCTACGAGATCATCAACAGTTGCCATCAGCTGCAACGATTCGACGTCCTCTCGAATGTCGACGATAAGTTTCTCGTTGCTCTCCGGGCTTGTGAAGGACTCGAAGAGCTTGGCGTAGGGTGGCGGCGGAATGCTAGTACCCCAGACGAAGCTGCGTTTCTCCGTGAGCTGGGCTCCCTACCAAAGGTCAGCAAGATAGAGCTCCGCATAGCTTCAGCCCACACACGATACCACCCCGGAGTAGGTGTCCCGAATGTTAAGTCAACTCATCCAGTACGCTTCGGCGATCCCGGCCTGAATGAAGTATACTACACCATGAAGGACGTTGCTGTCGACGAAGAGCTAGCTCGGTCGATGTTCAGCATCATCTCCAGTTCTAGGCCTCAATACGCTCCGCCCCTTGAGAAGTTGCAGATCAAAGTGCGTCCATTACTCCATGCCGCTATGAGTGTCTGCGAGTACGAGACTCCAGGACTCGGAGACTTGTTGTCGCACCTTACATTTGATTGGACTTGCATGCGAAATCTGCGCGACGACAAACCTGGCATTTGCCGCTTGACTCGCGAAGGCATCGAAGACCTTCGACGGGATGGGGATGCTCCTGTCGATGAGGACGTACAGCGCCTCGCGGAAGGCAAATTTGCTCCGGTACTGCACTTGCTGTGGCCACTGAGCCTTGAGAAGCAATGGTGGGATGCCTGGCATAGCTTTCCTGTCTTCGATGAGACGGCAATCAAGCGAGATGTTTGATATTGTGTCCTGCGGAGTCCTGAGCTGCCATCGAGACTTATCAAAAGTGCAGCAAAGCTGTTTCGTGCGCGCTGTGAAGCAGTCCTTAAAGGAATGTAGAAGTGTAGTCACATCCTCCCAGATGTATCACAGTTACGTCATTCTGTTTACGCGTAGAAACGCGCTGCCATCTACGTCTACATACGACACATGCTCGTTCTCGTCTATGCTCTGCCTCTAGCACCACACTTTGCTCGTCGAGATAGTGTGTCCGCACCCGTCGACTTTGATCAACATGGGAGTATAGCATCATCTAGTCATAGGCTAGGATAGCGATTGCCCGTCAAGAGCTTCGCCAAGAACAAACAAACCTCACCTGTCTTTGAAGTCACCAACTCTCCCTCGATCAGCACCTAACCACCACACCTACAATCCATCCGGGAACGATTTGTTGCGTCGGGTGTATCGTGTCTGAGCCTGTGGATGGCCAGCCCATTACCATACTTCACGGTACCACTATCAAGAGGTATACCACACCAGAAGGTAAGCGAATATACTCATGGTGTCTGCAGAGCGCTACTATACACTGATACTACAACATTGACACAGCCTGTAAGAACATCAAGTCCACAGCAGCAAAGCACGAGTCTGCGAGTGCCATTGAGGGCCATGCTGGGCTTTTGTCATGCTATTATGCTAACCTATAGCTCATAGTACCACCAGGTGGTGCGTACACTCACTACACAGAGCGCTGACAACAGCATTTACAACCGTGATGCTGAATGGGACCGTTTTACGACGTTCTACTCAGCTGTTAACTCATCACGACCTCACCTCTTGACTCTCGACTACACACCTGTTACTGTCAACGAGACGAGACACTCTCTGATCTCCCCTCAAGAGATTTACCCTACTTCCACACGCGCTGAATGGCTCGGTATACACTGCCATCCGTCCACTATCCCTCTCCTGCAGAGTGCCTAACCAGACGTATGTCACGCTGCTGCGCCGTACAGCCGTCTCAAGCTCGTCGACGGCTACCGTCCACATACCCTTATCGTCCAGATCATGCCTCTGACGCCATGTCATCTCAGCATGCTCATCGCTGCGCTCTCTTACACGAAGCCCTGCCATCGCACCATCGACCAGCGCCTTGTACACTCTCAGCCAATTTCTGGTTCGCCAGGAGTCGTGGCCGAGTGGTTATGGCGCTAGTTTCAGGTTTGATTCTACTGTCTGGTTTCCCGAATTACTAGTTGGGCAACCTTCGCGAGTTCGAGTCTCGCCGACTTCATCAATTTTTTGCAATTTCTCGCCTTCTTCTGTGGTTGGAAGACATGTTTTTGTCTATAGAATCAATCGTAGATGCAGTCCCGACTCTGAGAATGCGCAGGGTTGAGAATTTCAAGCTTGGTGAGCTAGAATAAGCATTTGAGCTAACATTCCGGTCCACACCAGACGACAGAATCATAACTTCAGAATGTTGTCATAACTGCGATTGAAGACTATCCGTCGAGATGAGAACAGTGGCCGACAAGCCCGAGCTGCATTGCTGCAGACTTGGGTGATGAAGTACCGACAGGCATTTCTTATCAGTTGTGCAAGCATGACAAACGCAATTAACCTTATCTCTGCGTGGTCACGCCGTATTTTCAACATACCTACAATCCATTGACATCACTGCAGCACTAGCTGCATCTCTACATCGTTCTCGATCTTCTCACACTGTTTCCTCTGGTCTAGCAACATGGCGCTGTTCGAAAGAAGATCCTCTATGGAGGCATTCGATCAGTGGAGAGGACAATCACCTACAGGATCAGAACGACGAAAGCTCTCCTTCAATCCCATAGCAGACTATGTCCCACCACGAGCTGAAGAAGAGACCGTACCGGCTTTCGAAGTATCAGCGACGAAGCGTATGGTGCAGGTCGCTATAGCCGTGGTCTACTGCTTGTTAGCTGCTGGACCTGTCTTCGGATTTGCTGCATTGAAGCCTGTTCTCGTACAGCAAGGTGTGTACCAGTATCTTTGCACTGGCGACGAGCTTGAGCATGGCGTATGCTATGGTCAAGAGGTCAGGCTCAACCTCATGTTCACTCTTGCGGCGGTTAGCACAAATCTGTGTGCACTGGTATGTCTGTCTACCCTCATAGATCTCAAGCTGATCATCTCTAGCCAGTCGGCACCATTCTCGATAGATATGGACCCAGGATAGCAAGTCTTGTGGGGACATTCTTTCTAGCACTGGGAGCGATGTCCATGGCTTTCGCGCAGGACCTCCCGTTTGATGCATACATTCCCGGATATCTATTCCTCGCGATAGGAGGGCCATTCGTTTTCATTCCAGCTTTCCAGCTCAGCAACACCTTTTCAAAGTATTCTGGCTCCATCCTGGCACTCCTGACAGGAGCCTTTGACACGAGCAGTGCGGTATTCTTGGTGTATCGTCTCTTGTATCAAGGATCGGACGGCAGCTTCACTCCAAAGAAGTTCTTTTTGATCTACCTGGTAGTGCCTGCGGCCATTTTGCTCGCACAAATCTTCGTCATGCCAAGTCAATCCTACAAGTCTGTCGGTGAGCTTGTCACCGAGGAAACAGAGACGAATGCCACAGAGACGACGACATTACTCGGCTCTAAAGCTGGCGATGATCAGAACAAGCAAGGCAAGCAGCACGCCCAGACGTCCGGCGTATACGGAGCTTTGCACGGAAGGACTGCAGCACAACAGATCCTTACACCTTGGTTCATTCTCATCGCACTATTCACGGTCCTCCAGATGCTACGAATCAACTACTTTGTCGCTACTATTCGCACACAATACACAGCTTTGCTTCACGACAGTAAAGCAGCCTCACAGATCAACGACGTTTTTGATGTTGCTCTGCCACTTGGCGGAGTCATTGCCATTCCATTCATCGGTCTGGTGCTCGATCACACTTCAACTCCGTTCGTCCTGCTCTTACTGGTAGTCATTGCAACAGCTATCGGTGCGTTCGGCATCATTGCACAGCAGTGGGCAGCCTATGCTAACATAGCTCTCTTCGTTGTCTACCGTCCACTATACTACACTGCTGTCTCGGACTACAGTGCAAAGGTGTTTGGCTTCGCAACTTTCGGCAAGGTATATGGCTTGATCATCTGTCTTGCCGGAATCTGCAATCTCGCACAAGCCGGACTTGATGCCTTGACACATACAACCTTCCACGACGATCCAGTGCCAGTCAACGTTGTGCTACTGTCGACAGCATTGGCAGTGGGCATTGCTATGGTTGGCTACGTCTGGCGCAAGAGCATGACATTGAATCGTGATCAGCTTGAAGAAGAAGCAGAAGAGTCTCCTGAGACCAACATGCCTACGCTATCATAAGGCTACGACTCCGCTAAGACGACACACTAAGGCGCACTCAATCGATCAAACCATCGGTCGAGGATGCGGCTGCTGATAAGAATATTGTGGCACTGAATCCGTGCTCTGGAATGTCTGCATCGGCATAGCATTCGCATACGGCTGTTTTGGCGCTGAGGTAAACTGAGGGTATTGGTAGCCGTCTTGGCCAACATATTCCGGCATTGACTCTGCTTTGTTCTTCTGTCGTCGGCGGATGCAGCAGTGTGCAGTGAGTCGCGCGGCTAGGAACAGAACACCGATCGCAGCGACGGTGATTGCGTAGATCGTGTTCATCCAAGGGTTTCCTGACAAGTCAGCGACATCAGCAGCGCATCGAAACCACTTACCGCCAAAGCCCCAGCCCATACCGCCGTTGATAATGGCGATTACGATCATGATACTCCCGAGGATAGCATGAATCTTTGCAAACTTGGCTGGCGAACCGGTTTTTTTGAAGATTCTGTGGCCAACAATGCCCAAAGCAAGCTGCACCAGCAGTCCAAACATCAAGATCAGACCGATGACCTGATGAGCAGATCGGAATGTCTTGCTACGGTTGTACTGCATACTGATGTAGCAGCCACAGCAAAAGGCAGCAAACACAAAGACGAGTCCGATAACCTGCATAACAGCGTGCAAGATGACCTTGTTGAAGAATCGGAGCAATAGAGAGCCGAATGGGAATATCAATATCCAGGCTATGCACATCAGCGCGGCATGAATGGCAGGTCCGGCGTTGGTGTCCTTGTTGGTGGACGTTGTGCCTAAACCATTGTAGTTGTACGAGCCATTCACTGGCGGAGGCACTGAGCCACTGTTCAAGGACGTAGCAGCGGTCAGATTCAGATTGAATGAACCATAGAAGTTGTGTCTCTTCAAAGGTGCGGCCAGGTCGTCAGTATTCATATCCGTACCAGGTCCGGTAGCGAATATGAAAGGCGCTCGCTGGTTGCTGAGGTCAAGAATGCTACCCGTCCGGTTCGCACAGCCTCTGCATACACCATCGATGTACATCTGATTGATATTGTTGTCGATAGTGTTCGGTGTGCGCAACGCAGAATCCCAGACCTTTTCAACCTTGATACTCGAGTCGTACGTAGGCTCTGATTTGTAGTTTCCAACGCGCGGACTGATGGTGATGCCCGTTGTGTTTTGACTTGGGTATGCAAGTATCATGAGAGTTCCCTGCATCTTGTCTCCAAAGCCCACGCCCACCCAGGATCCACTAGCCGGTGCATCGAAGTGAAAGTAGATATCTCCGGTGGACTTGACGATGTTGATCGTAAAAAGAAAGTAGTTCCCTTTGGTGCCTGCACCAGTAGAGTTGTAAATGAATGTGGAGCGAGCTCCGACATCCTGAGCGAGGACGGAACCCAACAAGGTTAGGATAGGAAGCAGTAAGAACAACATGGTGTCTGCTTGATCGAAGAGGAGGGTTGCGAGAGAATGTGGAAAATGTTCTGCAAGTCAGGTCAATAAATGTGTATACGAGATCAAGGAGGTTGTCCCACAAATAGCAACGGTCATTAGCCTCTCCCCTGTTGTGCCGCAAGGACAGCTCTTGGTGCTGGCCGCCAGTCAGTAGGCCTACGTTCAGAGCCATATCTGGAGGCCATTGAATGCTTCAGGCGCCTGTCTGGTTGTGCAAATCGCGCATGTACAGCATGTAGAGCTGTTTCATGCAGGGGATGTTCAAGCCACAGCGCTTGACAACGTGAGAGGAAGCCGTTGTCATTGGCCTGCGACTAGTGTCACCAAAAGCTTGGTAGAAGCTTGGCCGTTGATCAGAGTTCGACAGCCTATGCTTTGAGCGCTGAGGGAATCCGTTTGTTCAGCCCATCCGGCTTTCAAGCATCTTCTTGCCATGCGCTCGAACAACGCTGTCAAGGATCGTCTTGACTTGTGCACAGCCATCGAGGCCGACAGCGATCATGGCTTCCAGTCGAGCCATTTGCACTCGTGTTTCCATTATCAAGGTGCCTACCGCGCCGCCGACAGCGCCAATGGTCAGAAATGGGCATTCGAGCTCTTCGAGATTGTTCACGTCCAGTAACGGGTCGGCATCCTCCTCTCGATCTGCGAACGCTGCTGTCGTCGCGACCGTGCACGCGGATATGTAGTCGGTCATGGGTATCCCTGCGTCGATAAGAGCTAATGTAGTCGCATTGATGCATGCTGCGAGCAAGGAGCCGTCCTGCGAAAGCACATGAAGGTGCACATCAATGGTACTGTGAGGATAGAGGTGTGTGAGTAGTGTTGCTGCGAAGGCGCTAGATATCGTATACTGCATCTCTGATGTCCTCCTACGTGGCCGTCAGTCGTTGCATTGCTGCATGGTGTCCCACTCATACTTGTCACCTCTTGCACGCTTCTTTCTGTCTGTACCAGAGAAGCTAGCGAAGCCTATCTCGACCTCAATCTTCGCTTCATTCGACTGATCTCTGCTTCCAGCTCCTTTCTTCTGCTCTTGCGGACCATTCACAGTGCATATGACCTTTGTGTTGCCCATTTCGAGGTAGCTTGAGCCATCGGCAGCTGCTTGTGTTGAGATCTGGGCGTGTAGGCGGCGGAGCTCATTCCAGCGGCGACCGTCCAGGCGCAGATGCGCGAGATTGTATGCTGATGTGTCCAAAGGCATTCTCGACGAGAGTTGTCTTGCTTCCAGATTGTCACCAGCAACAATTCTCGAAACAGCTTCAAATTCGTCGATGACGCGCGGGCGACGCGTGAATGTGCGCGGTTTCGCTAAAGTTACCAGCGCGATTACGACTGCTTCTATTCCGTAACGACCTCTGATTCCACTTCACAGCATGCGATGGACGCTGCGCACAACATACCAGACTCGACGGACTGGCTGGGCACTCCGCTCGCTGGACTCTCGTCCTTGGAGAATGCGCTTCACTG